CGTGCCAAGGATGAAGTTTGCTAGTGCTGTGGAGTTCAAGGTTGCTGTCGTCCGTAATTCTGTAGCTGCCGGGGCTGGTTTGAGGTGGCTTAGGAGTAATCCAACAAGGAGGGAGGTTAGATGCAAGGACACGAATTGCAAGTGGAGAGTATATGCTAGCTGGTTCCGCAAGAACCAGAGTTTCATGGTGAGGAAGGCTGGTCTGCCTCATTCATGTGCAAGAAAGCTTCGTGTCAACCAAGTAACTGCCCACTGGATTGCGAGTGACATGTTAGAACGGTTTAGAATTAATCCTGAGTGGGAGCCTGATCAAATTATGGCCGAGGTAAAGCTTAAACGCAATATGGAAGTTGCAAGAAGAACGTGTTATAGAGCCAAAGTTGCTGCAATCAGGATGCTGGGAGGTTCACTAGTAGAGGAATACCACAAGGTCGGATCTTACCTTGGTGAGTTGTTGAAGCGTGATCATCGAGGGACTTTCAAATTGGAAGTGGAACCTCACCATACACAAGAGAATGTGTACTTCCAGAGAATGTATGTTGGATTCTCCTATTTGAGGGATGGTTTCCTTGAAGCCTGTCGTCCAATGTTCGGATTGGACGGATGCTTCTTGAAGGGAGAAATTAAGGGAATGTTGCTTACAACTGTCGGGAAGGACAGCAACAACCAAATGTTCCCAATTGCTTGGGCGGTTGTAGAGGGCGAGAACACAAAATCCTGGAGATGGTTTGTGAACACTCTCGCACAAGATTTAAACCTACATAATGGCAGGGACTAGTCTGTCATCTCTGACCAGCAAAAGGTAAGTTGGTTATATTAATGTAAGTTGGTTATATTAATGTAAGCGTTGGTTATATGCTAGGAAAGTTGGTTATATTATATGCTATAATAAGTCACTGTTTTCTTTGGTTGCCGGGCTTATTTATCTCCTCTACCAAAGCGTGATTCGGTGGAGTCAAATATTTGTGAAACATGGAATGGTGTAATTGTGAAGTACAGGTGTATGAGAATAATAGACATGTTAGAGGGGGTTAGGGGCTATGTGATGGACAGGGTAGTAGCCAAATATAAGTTGCTGCATGAATCTACTGATGTGCTATGCCCTAGGATTCGAAAAAGAGTCGAGAAAGAGAAAGAATTGTCCCGATTGTGTACGTCAAGACAGACTAGGAACGATCAGTGTGAGGTAAAGATGGGAAGTGTAGGGTACATTGTTGATTTAGGTGCAAAGTCTTGCACTTGTGGGTGGTGGTCATTGAGTGGCATTTCATGTTGCCATGTTGTCTCCGCTATTTCACATCTGAGGAAGGAGATTGATAGCTTCGTAGATACATCTTATTACATCTACAATGCTGAGCATGCATACAAGAATGGAATCCCTTGTCTAGAGTCTAGACGGTAGACAGGCTTGGCCTACTACAGTGAGATATCCAGTACACCCACCCAAGCAACGAACTATGCCCGGCATACCAAAGAAGAATCAAAGGAAGGCTGCACACGAACAGGAGGTTCGACCTGTACGAAATGGGATCGGAGAGGAGGTGGTTAGAAGGGGATCAATCATCCATTGCAAGAAGTGTGGAAGGGAAGGTCACAATACGAGAACGTGTACAGCTCCTACTCAGGTTGCCCAATAGGTATGAATAAATTCAGTTTTATTGGAGATTGTATGGTTTCTAATTAATTGTTGTTTCTAACGTTTTTTCTCTGTTTTCTTTGGTAGAACAACACCACTACACCTAGAGCAGCAGCACAACCTACAGGAAACAATGGAGCGAGAGGCAAATGACCAAGAACTGCAACAAATCCAGTAAACAACGACAACACAGGTCAAAGAGCAAGAGTAGGTCACTGCTCCAAGTGCGATTCTAGTACGCATAATGTACGAACATGTCCTCTAAACCAAGGAGTTGGTATACAAGTAAGTTGAATGGATGTGGCTAGAATAGGCAGACTAATTGAGTTGATGAATTTGAACCTCAATAAGTTGCTGAATGTTCGTGTTGTGCTTGCTATGGTAGGACGTTAGGCTGAATGTTGCTGATCGGAGGACTGTTGAACGCGAGTTGCGAGTTGCCACAAGCGGAGTTGGAGTCTACGTGTCAGAGCATACTGGGAACCAATACGTTAGAGTAAGTATTTATATGGTTAAATGCTTGTTGTTATCAAAGATTAATGTAATGGCTTATTTTTAGGCTACTATTTCAGCTCAATGGTGCGAGAGGACGAGCGTTTGGAACCACGCAGCCCACTGAGGTCCAGATGAATGGAAGTCAACCCCCACCCTTGCAGCCTTAGACCTGTATATCCAGGAGTCATCTAATGTTTTTTGTGCAAGGCCATTAAGCTATTAGCTACCTCGCTAGAGGTTTTTTTTGGATAGATGACTCATGTATTGGCCTTTTATGAACACTCTCGGAGTATGTTAGTATGTTTGGTAGGCAGACTAATGTAATGTAATGTAATGCTCGGAGTATGTTGATAGGCAGACTTATGTAATGTTTTGCTCGGATTATGAACAAATCGGAGTATGTTAGGCTATTATGCAATGAACAACTACGATTATGCTATTGATTATGTGCCATAACTTCGTCATCTTATTACTGTGGATAAGCCCTTTTGCACAAAGTACAAATTCTCTACTGCACTAAAACCTGCTGCTAGCTTCAGCAGTTGATGAACTCTGTATATATGAAACCAGGGGATCTCAAAAGCTCTCACCAAATCTTCATCCATTCTTTCCATACAGAGACAATTACATTAGATCTCCTTTATGAACTCTCTCTGCTAAACTAACATTAGATCTCTGATTTCACTAATTCTTAAAAACGTTGGAATCGGGATACAAATGTCGAATTACATCAACAATGTCGATTAATTTCCTACCACATAATAACATGGTGCAACATAAGGATAACCAATATTAGGTTCAGTAAGACAATCACTGTCAATAAAGCTCGAATTACATGGATTTCATGATTAACTTTCCTTCCTTCAGCTAGGTGAAGTTCTGGGAAGGAGAAATCGCGATTTTGGGGTCGCGAATCTGCCGAGCAGAAGTGGGATTTGAGGAAGAAGGAAGAAGCGCCGAGTCAGAGCATACTAGAAGAAGATTTGGGGGAGAGGAGTAAGCTTCGATCAGCTTCGTGTATCTCCTTCGTGGGGAAGAGCAGATGGAGGAAGAACCCTAATTTCGTTTTCTAGAAAGAGATGAGAAGATTTGTTAGCACTAATTTCGTTTTCTGGAAATAGATGGAGATTTTTGGAAGCCTCGACAGATCAGGTATATGGGGAGAGTTTTTAAATTTTTTTTTTTAATAAATAAATTATTAAGATGACGTGTCAATTTTTGCTTAGCTGTCGCTGATGTGGTTGATGCATGGTTGTCACGCCGGCCGACGTGCCACTGGTTGAACCTGGTTCAACCTGTACCAGTCATAAAACCGGCATGACACCACCGGTATGACCGACATGATCGATATACGAATCTCCAAGTAAAATGACCTTATCTTAGTGAATTTAATTGATAAAAAATAATTTATTATTTATTTTATGTGTTAAAAAGTTAAATGTTGATGTTATTGGTTGGATCCAAGTACAAATATTTAGGTATTGACGTTAAATGTCGTGTTTAAATATGAGTATTTGTAAATTATTTGTAATATTAACCGGCATGAACCGGCACAAACCGGTATGTACCACCGGTCGAACCATTCCACTTGCTAAACCGGCACACTGGCATAAACCGGTTTGACAAGTTGATGATTTGGCGCCTCGTCAGCCAACCGTCAAATAAGTTGACGGAGTTATTAACACCGTCAAAGTTTCTAACGGAAATGGCTATATCTGGCACACAACATCTTTCAAAAGTGGCTATTAGTGGTATTTCGCAAAATGTGGCTATAAGTGGCACAAAGATGAAAGTTTTGGCTACGCAAGTCTATTTTGCCAAAAAATAACCATTAAACACTATCCCATAACAACTTGAAGAGAAAACAATTTAGCAATAAAGGCATACGAGAAACCATCCTTAAATTTACCAACATAAAATGAGATCGAACCATCACCTGATATGCCTACAAGCCGGTTGCACTTTCTTGATTTGGCTACGTTGCATCCATCCTATTCACAACATTGACTGCCTTGAGTTGGGTAGTGATTCTAGTGAACATTGCCTACCTTTTTCTTCCAATCCTTCTGTTCCTCCGCCGGCCTTCAATCATCCACATGAATTGTTAGTTGACGGAACAAACATTTGGATCTGGTATAGATAAATTCATAGTACAACAATTTTATCATGGATTTATGCAGCGATTTGGTTCGATCCGGACATACCAAATTCATGAAAAGCGCGATTCATTTTTGCATTCAGTAGATTTTTGTCCGATCCTTGATCCAAAGGGAAGATATCTTCAAACTGAGAAATTATGGGAATAATATGAGGATATCAAGATCAACGTTTGAAAATGGAGAATTTAAGCTTAACAGGGCCTAACCAGGGGAAGTCAATTAGCGGATGAATGGGAAAATCTCCCATTTGGGATTTTGATTGCTCGTTGATTAATATTATCATCATAAAGGAGCGCTTTGAATTTTAATTTTAACATGAAGTTTCACTGACAATTAGCGAACTGATTACTGAGATTTTAATAAATACACCGCTGAATAAATAGTACAGGGCCATTGACGGTGAGGAATCCGGTCGCCGGGAAAACATCTACGGTTTCCAAACAATGCCATACGGTTGCTCGGTGGAACCGAGTCCATGATTGTCACCGTCACCAAATCTGAACATTAGATGCTGACCAAAAATAGCATACTTACATTGAACATGGAATGTCCTGATGTGGGTTATTCAATACCCCAACTCATATACAACTTCCAACCAGCCATTTCAATGAGCACATGGGCAATATATCCAAACCCTATAGCTTGAACAAGGAACCTCATTCAATCAAATCCATTTCTATCACCCAACTAACTTTCGGTGACTGATGTCTCTAGCCATTATCAGATATGATATCACCAAACAAAGAAACTGATCCTACATGATCTAAGCTAGTGAACAATCCCCTGACCAAGACATTCCACGTGGCGACATTAGGGAAGACGCCACTTTCAACCATCTTTTCCAAACCAGAGCTGGCCTTCTCTACCCCGAACTCATTACAGATCCCCCATAGAATGTTAGTGTAAGCAACACTGTCAGGAGACCACTTACCTCCGGAACTCAATCCTTCCATTACCCGGATTGCGGTGTCAACCTTCCCTTGCCTAGAATAAGCATCAATGACCATATTAAATGTAAAAGCATCGGGCTTCATGCCTAAAACCACCATCTTCCCAACAAGCTGCAGAGCGATATCAACCATTCCAGCACGAGAAACCGAATGCAAAATGGAGTTATAAGTGAGTAAGTTCGGCATAATCCCCCTTTCTTCCATCTCTTTAAAAAGATCGATACCTTGTTTTACTCCTTCTGATTTGAGAACACCTACAAGCAGTTCATTGTAAGTTGTGGCATTAGGCGAGCACCCGTATCGCCCCATTCCATCGAGGACCCTCACAGCCCATTCTGTCCTTCCTCTGCAAGCCAAATGTTTGATGAACACATTGAATGTGACTGTGTTTGGAAGGCAGTTCTCAGCTGCCATGCTTTCTATAAGGCAATGTGCTTCGTTGAACATGGAGTTTCTACAGAGAGCATCCACCATCGAAGTATAGACAACAACATTAGGAACACAACCCGAGTTGATCATCCTGTTCCATGTCTCGGATGAGCCAATAAGATCGCCCGATTTAGCAAAGCCATCGATGAGAGTTCCATAGGTAGTAATGTTGGCCGACCATCCATATTTCCCCATTGTGTTGAACACCGATATGGCTTCTTCCATCCTTCCACGGGAGGCGAGACCATGGAGAAGTGTGTTGTACACTACAAAGTTAGGCTCAAATCCTTCACTAATCATCTGATTCCAAACAGCGAGTGCTCCATGACATCTCCCGTAAGCAAAATACCCCTTAATCAATGAAGAAAATGTATGGAGATTCGGGGTACAATTCCGTACAAACATCTTACAAAACACAGCTAGAGCTAGCTCAACATTCCCTCTGTCTGCAAGTGAGCTTATAACTGTCGAGTAAGTTATGACATTTGGGGGAACTCCATCCTCCACCATTTGGTTTAACAACTTCATCGCCTCCTGAATTCTTTCCTCCTTACAGAAGCCATTGATCAGAGCATTATACATAGGCACGGAAGGTTGAAATCTAGTTGAAAGCTCTTTAGCTTCATCCACATTCCCAAGATTACACATACATGATATTACAGTAGTATAGCTAACAACATCAGGGTCACAACCCTTATCCGGCATTTGCAAGAGCAACTTCCGAGCAGCATCCACCCGATTATTCTTACACATAGCCTTCAAGAGAATGTTGTAAGTATAAACATTTGGTTCCACTCTATCTGCCTTCATAATCCTGTATGTGGAACTGACCATCTCAAACCTATTCTCACTAAGCAATGCATCCAAAAGGAGATTATACATCTTGACAGTCGGCTTGCAACCAAATTCATCGATCCTGTAGAACAACTTCAACGCCTGTTCAGATAAACCCACTTTCACAAAACTGTTCATCACGTTCACAAACAAGTCGGGATTACAATGAAGTCCTTCTAATTTCATCTGATGAAGAAGATACTGAATGCCATCAACATTGCCTTCATCACCCAGCCTCCGAATCATGGTTCTGTACGTTAGCGCAGTATGTCTGAAGGCTTTTGAATTGGCAATCGACTTGAAGTAGTCTAGAGCTATTGAAATGCTGGGCTCATTCTCTAACCTCGTCAATACCTGGGACTCTTTGAGAAGAGGATGGCTTCTTTCGTATTGGGGATCGAGATTAAGATGTGGGTTCGTGTTGAGAACGAAGGGGAGTGATTTCTTGCTGTTTCTCAAGCTCAATAACAATGAACGCCCTTCTTTTAGATACATCTCAAAAAAGCCAGAACCCAGAAAGTTCAGAACCCTACTCAACCAAGCAGCTACGTTCTCTAATTCAGCAAACGATGAACTCAAAACTCGTCATAATCGCAAAGGGAAGACATACCTTCTCTCGCGAAAGCCGATCCCACTGGCACACCAAACTCCGGCGCCTTTCTGTGTCCATTCCTTTTATTCCTCGAACAGCAGGAAAAGGAAAATATAACAATGGCGAGCTCAGAACTGGGAGGAACTAGTTTCTCTTTGTTCCTCTTGTTTACCCCCGGAGGCGGGAAGGCAAGACTCCGGTGTCGTTTTAATTGGCCGAACGTAGGGAATTTATGGATGGTAATGGGTCGGGTTGGGGCGGGTTTTGTCAAACCCAAACCCAAACTTATGGGTTTATTAAAAAAAACCGGGTAAAACCCGTTGGGTTTGAAAAACTCAAACCCTACCCAACCCGCTGGGTATCCGCGGGTTCATGGGTACCCGTGGGTTTTTATGGTAAAAATTTTACAATAACAAGCTTCTTTCAAAATAAAAGTTTAACATCAATTTTCTCATACAATAAACACCAATATAGAGCATACAAGCAAACTGCAAATGATCAATACAAATTGTTCAAAATTAAAGATAAACATCTATAAACAATAAGATTAATTGAAAGCTTCTTTCTCGTCAACTAAGTTTCTTCACTCTCCACTTTATAATATCAACTTCATTCTAAACAATTAGATAGAACAAATTATACATGTCTCCACAAACATAAATAGTATTAGTTATTTAAGGAAGATATATTATTTAGAATATTAAATATACCGGGAAAATAATTATATGTGTGTGGGCGGGTACCCATGGGGCGGGTTTACCTAAACCCAAACCCAACCCGACCCGGTGAATAGTGTAGCGGCTTTAAACCCGAACCCGACCCAAAACCCGTCAACACGAGTTTTACCCACATTGACCGGGTTGGGTCGGGTGGGTACCCGTGGGTTCGGGTTTTGTTGCCAAACCTAGTAGGGATAACAATGGGTCAGGTTGGGTCGGGTTTTGCCAAAGCCAAAGCCAAACCCATGGGTTTATACGTGAAAATAACTAGGGGTAAAACCCATTGGGTTTGAAAAACTCAAACCCAACCGAAACCGCTGGGTATCCGCGAGTTCATGGGTACCCATGGATTTTTGTCGTAAAAAATTAAAGTCAAATATCAATCTCTCAATACAAATTATCCATATATAAAACACCATTCTAGAAAATTCAAGCAAATCACATATTAACTATACAAATTGTTAAACACTAATCTATAAAATTCAAGAAAATTTAACCAGATCACAAATTATCCATAAACAACATGATTAATTGAAAGCTTTTTCCTCCTTGTCAATTAAGCTTCTTCACTCTTCACTCGATAATATCAACTTCATTCTACACCATTTGAAAGAAAAAAATTAGACATGTCTCCACAAACATAAAGAAAATTAGTTGTTTAGAATATTAAATATACAGGAAAAATTAATTATATTAATGTGGACGGGTATTCATGGTGCTGGTTTAGCTAAACCCAAACTCAACCCAGTGAATAGTAAACGGGTTTAAACCCGAACACGAGTTTTACCCGCGTTATCCGGGTTGGGTCGGGTAGGATACCCGTGAGTTCGGGTTTTGTTGCCATCCCTAGCCGAACGTAACTTCTAGTCTACGAAGTACGAGCTAGTAACGAAAAGGACAAATAGGAGCAGCTATTAGTAAGTACAAAAATAATTAGGGAGTTAACTGGAATTTACGGAAGATATAAATTCACTCCGGCAGCTCAGAGAACTCCGAACAAATTGAGCAACGTAGTTTCTCTCCATCCGAGCGAAGAAGAGCAGAAGAGTCTCTGTCGCCGGCGGTAATGTCCTTCCCGACTCTCCTCCTTAGTTGCTTCTTTCTTCCGGCGATTCGCTTGTTATAATAGTAATTGCTAGTCGGATGTGTTTACGGTTGACGAGTTACGCTAGGCTGAGATTCTGTTTGTTCCGTCGAGATCTCCGATTAGTTCAGTTTTCGTTTCTTCTCTCCCGCTATTTGGTCATTCCGTGAACTAACTTTGTTGCTTTCCTCTCCGATGAGCTGTAGAAGTCCGTTGATTGCCGGCATCATTGTGAGGAGGCAATTTCGAGCTAAAACGTCGATTGCTCTTGCGCTTCAAGGTAATTGTTCGTTGCGGTTTAAGATCAGTTATTCTGGTGCTTCGAAATTCTTTGCTGCTTTGTTCCAATGAGCCGTGCTTTCTCGGAGAAAGAATTGAGAGTAAGATCAATGATGATTATTAACTTTTGCCCTGATAACTTGTTTAGGTTCCACCTTAGTCAGCTTACTGGAATATATAGGAATCAGAAGATATGGCTGTTGGACACGGTGACTCGAGTTCGTCGGACAAGAAATCGACTGATGCTTTGAGTGACTTGCAAACTTTCAATGCCGAGAACTTGCAAAGTAACATGAAAGTTATTTATTACAGGTTCGTTCTGGTAGCCTGCTTAATGCAGTACTCTCGTGTTGATGAGCTTTGTGGGCTGTGGACGTTTTCTTAATGTTGCCATGAAAGCTCTGCTCTTAAAATGTATGTCTCTTTATGCTAAATGTAGACTGAGAAAATGTCGAATCGCATAATTGATTTTCTCAGGATGAAGCTCTGACGAGTAAGATGAGTTTACCAAACTAGATCAGATGAGTTTGTGAAATACTAATAGGCTATCAGACAAGGTGTGGAATGAAGTGCTAGTGTCTTACACATTTGCACCAGGGTTAGAATTCTATTTCTGCCTGTACTCATGAATCTGACAGGTCGCTTTTGTGCCTTTGAACATTTCTGTCAGCTATCGGTGGTAGTGACATTGCTGGGATTCTGGGATTGCAGGGCTTGATAGAATTATCTATTTCCTTACTGTTGATATAATTTCATTATCATTGCTACTTCCATTCCTTACTGCAAAATCCAGTTTCAGACAAAGGATTGCTTGATAGTGTTATGTAACTCCTTTTGGTGAGACAGATTTACAGAACTGGATCAGATACTGTTGAGATATACTAAAGTGTTAGTACACACGTGGTGAATGAACAGATAGTGTCTTGCAGTCAGGACCAGGATTAGAAATTATATCTGTCCTGGTTGGTGTATATGGCATGTTACTTTTGGGCATCTGACCATTTTGTCAATCATTGGTGGTGCAATTGCTGGTTCTTGGATTCGAGGGCTTAGTATTAATTATATTGCCTATAATGGCTATGATTTCATTCCATGAATGTTCTGTCCCCAAACTGAGTGTCTCTAGTGTGAATTAGTGCTCCAGGCTAAGAAAAGTCTCTCCGAGACATTTTGTTCACGTAATGAGATGTTTCAAGATGAACCTATGTTAATTTGGTGAACATACATAAATGGCTTATATACTTTTGGACAAAGACTAGTTGGTGGTAGCTAGGTGGTGAAATGAACTGTTTGTTCATAGGCTAAATTTTTTTTTCTGTCAGTATCTATGTATTTATTATGTTCTCTTTTTTTTTCTGCAGTCGGACATTTCTGTCAATCATTGGTGGTGTAATTGCTGGAATTCTTGGATTCAAGGGATTGATAGGATTTGTTTTCTACTTCCTTGTCATGGCTGTAACTTCTGCTGCACTCACAGCCAAGGCAAAGTTCTCCATTCACTCCTACTTTGATACTTGGAACCGAGTCCTGCTTGATGGCTTCTTTGGTGGGCTTATGGTATGTTTCTCGTAGTTTGTCACTATTTACATCTTACGACCAGTCTTTTTCTTTCTTTTTTCCAGAAACGAGATCTTAGAAGTGGACTTTTCTGATCTTGGTTTGCCCCACACATAAGAAATTGACTTCCAAACGATGTAGTTACCATTGATTATAAACTGTAATATCTGCATGGTGCATCGTACTCTGGGTTCAGTTGTTAGAGCGTTGAAGAGATTCATGTAATAGTAAACCGATATCCGTAGAGACCTATACCAACAAACTTCTTTGTCAATAAGGAAAGTCAGAATAGATCGTCCCATATCTGCATATGTTTTGTTATTATCTTAGAGCTGCATGAATGGCCAATAAATTGGTCCTGGCTTTCTATAATTTCTTTAGCTTGACATTTCATTTTTGTTTTGCTATGCAGTCTTTCGTGCTCTTCTGGACGTATCCTTCACGCTTTTGAAATATGGTTTCTTATTTAGTAATAGATAGCTGGAACGCTTCTCAACTTGGTAATGAAACAGATGCACGTATGATCGAGACAATTATCATCATCATTACATCATAGGCCTGACATGCTAGTTAAGCCAGCATGGGAATTAATGTATAAAAAATTAAAAACCATTGGCAAAAGCATTGCATGCTAGTTAACCAAGTAATATTCTCTACAACAACAGTTGACATTCAATTGTTGGTTACCAACTACTATAGACTTCTCTGTCATGTCATATTTTCATTTGTCGAAAAGCAGCATATTGGACCAAGATGTATGGTTCCTTGACATCATAACAGATTTGCATACGACATTGTGCACATATTCTGATTGAAGGAGCATATGGATGGACGAATGTTCGGTTGCAGGCGGAGTTCTCTGATGGTTACAAGGCCCTGGACCAGGGTGCAAAACTTAATTGTGGGAATCAGTTGGTTTTCCTTGTATTACTCCGGTGGCTTTTATTTGATAAAATTGTGTGTTTAAGTTCCTGTCATAGGCATTGCATTTTGGCTGATGAAATTTTTTGCATGATTCATCCTCATTTATGCTGGGGAGATCCAATCTTAAGCGGGTATCGAGCAACAGCCATGATTCATTAGGATTCCATTTCGTGCTCTTTTTTCTGTAGTATCTGGTTTCGTAATACTAGGGGCAGAATTGGTGTTGGAGATGGACTTTCAAGAACGAATGAAGTATAGGTTATGTTACTTTCTTTCTTTCTCTGTATGCCGTAAGACCTGAGCATGAGATATGGATGGATTTCATGTCTGTCATATTTCTAAACTGAATAGTTGTCCATCTGATGCCTGAAATTTAACCTAGAGAAAAGCCAACTATTTTGTGTTGGGATAATAGAAGAGGAGCATGATAATCTAGTAGGTCTGGTTGTATTCACAAAAGCCAAACTCCCTGCTAAATATCTTGGAGTCCCTTTACCATCTGGGAAGCTCATTGTTCATGATTGCAAAATGATTGTAAACTGTTGATTGGTAAATTTACAAGGAGAATAGATGGCTGGAAGGAAGGCAAGAATGCTAAACTATGCGGACAAACTGCAGCACATTAACTCAGTATTGAGCAGTCTAAGGCAGTTCTGTTGGCAAAAATTTGGTACTCGACACCCGGAGCTAGCATGACTAATGGCTACACGAGGTGAAAAATGACAAGGATTTGAATGAAAGGGTTGCTTGTCGATGTTACCCAAACTAAGGCCATCTCAATATTTGTAGAATTTGTTGATCCGAATGATTGTACGTTGGGAGATAACGAGGAAGTAAATGTTGTTGGTACAGATTTTGTAGGGCAGCCTGATAACAACTCAGTTATTGGCGATTATCTCGAATGAACAATGTAGTCAAAATCGCGTTTTAAAACTTAAAAATTTACGATTTTATGTTTCTAGATCACTAAAACGCTTCTACACAAAATCTTAGTTTTTATAACTTATTTAGTTAAAAACTACGCTTTAAAACTTAAAAACTTACGATTTTACGCTTCTAGATCACCAAAACGTTTCTACGTAGAAACTCGCTTTTGACTACATTGCGGATGAAGACTTACATTTAGGGATGGCAATCGAATCCATACCCACGGGTATCTGACCGCCCCCGACCCAGTCAAAGCGAGGAATCCACGCATTGACCGGGTATGGGGCGAGTATGGGTAAAACCCGCAAAAAGATTAATGGGTATGGGTCGGGTATGGTTTTAGCCTCCACTGCCCCATACCCAAACGGCCATACCCGCCCCACCAAAAATATTTCTTCATATATGAAAAATATGTGAATCAATTTATAACCTATCAATAATAGTGAGTATAACTCAAGAAAAATATATAGTAGAAATGCAATTGAGTGGCCATCCAAATCAAAATCTAATTTCTTTCTCTCAATTTTCCCTTCACTCTTTCACTTTCTCGGTTTTCCTCTTGGATGACATTGTACTCTACTCTGATATGGATTAATGGGTGCTTTAGGATAAGATGCTTTGAATCGTATTAAAAATGATTGTCTCTTTATCGACTTCATGATATAGTAGGTGCGTTTAATGTTATAATTGAAAATCGACATGTAAAATATTCAGTATTATAATGCTGGATGTACGACGCGGGTATTACCCATGGGTACCTGAAACCCATGGGTATGAGGATGGGTTTGCAAAACCTTCCCCCGCATGGGTATAGGGCGGGTAGGGGTATAGATATTTGAAAGCGGGGATGGGAATGGTTTAGGCAAACCCGCCCCATTGCCATCCTTACTTACATTGAGGGGTTGTCAATTATAAGAACACTTGGGCTGAGAAGGAGGGTTGCAACTTGGGATTATGCTTCTACGTACTAGGCATGCGTTGGTTGGTTGGTCTAAAGGAGGAACATCTAACTCAGCAAGGCTAATAAATGACCTAAACCTCGCTCTAGAAGTGGCTAGATCTAATGCTCCGGTGAACTGGGCCTTAGTCAAATCCTTGGAAAAAGAATTGATTGTTCAGTATAACCGGGAAGAAATATTTTGGAGACAAAAATCCCGAACTAATTGGCTACAAGGTGGGGATAAAAACATTGCTTATTTTCATATAGTCACCTCAGCCAGACGACAAGCCACTACAATATTGGGTTTGGAAAACTCCCAGGGGTCATGGTGTACTGCAGAACATGAGAAATTGAACATTGCTGTTGACTTTTATAAAGACCTCTTCCTAACACAGTGTATGACAAGGATCGACTTATCCAATCTCCCAGTATAAGGAACAGTAGATGAGATCCAGAATCAAAATCTGATTGCTCCAATATCCCAAGAAAAAATTAAGAAAGTGGTGTTCAGCATAGGCAAATCTCAAACCCCAGGTCCAGTGGATTTACGACAGGCTTCTATCAAAATTATTGGGAGCTAATCAATCAAGATGTGATCCACGCAGTACTGGCTTTCTTTCATTCTGGACATTTACTAAGATCCTTCAACCGTACTTGGATATCACTAGTCCCCAAGGTAAACGACGTAAGAACCATGAAAAACCTAAGACCAATCAGTTGTTGCCAAGTGATCTACAAAGTCATAGCAAAAATATTGGCAAATAGGCTGAGTAGGGTGCTGCCTATTATCATATCCCAAGCTCAAAACGGGTTTATAAAACGGCATCAAATTTCAGACAATATCCTGATCAGTCATGAAATGGTTCACCATCTCAAAACATCAAAATCCAAGAAAAAATAGGTGATTTATCATATACTGATGAAGATGATGATGCTGTTTATTCTAATGAAGAGAACTCCTTGTAGTTTACCTACTCCAACAGGTATCCACGCTAGTTGCCATCACTATTCACTAATCAACAAGTTTAATCGAAAAAAATCCCAAGTTACACATGTTTTTAAAAAAAATTCTCAAAATACACACGTTATGAAAATAATTCCCAATCTACGTTAGTTTGGGCCATCACCGTTGTCGACGAAGACAGTGATTGCATCACTGTTGTCGACGAAGACAGTGATTGCATCACCGCTGTCGACGAAGACAGTGATTGCATCACTGCAGTACACGGCCGCGGTGAAGGTCTGACCTGCGTCGAAATTTTAAACAAACGTAACTTTGTGCTCGGTTATCCGATCGTAACGAAATTTTTTTTGATTCCGCATAATTTTTCGAGATCTTGCAAGCCGCAAATTGCCGTAGGCGGTTTGGTCCCGCCTTCGTCTCGAAAATATGTCGTTTGCTACCCCGAACGAGCCTTTTTTTCGATTTCGTCAAACTTTGAACGACCATAACTTTGTGCTCCACAATCCGAAAATCATGAAATTTTTTTTTATTTCGCATAACTTTTTAAGGACTATAATTTTTATCATAGATATATTTTCGGAATGTACTTGGATTCCTGAAAAGGAAGATAAAGTTATTCCCAAAACCCCTTATATCCATAAATAATTCATTTTTTGAAAATTCTCTCCTACTAAATATTGTAGTCCTTAAAAAGTTATGCGAAATCAAAAAAAAAATTCATGATTTTCGGATTGTGGAGCACAAAGTTATGGTCATTCAAAGTTTGACGAAATCGAAAAAAGGCTCGTTCGGAGTAGCAAACGACATATTTTCGAGACGAAGGCGGGACCAAACTGCCTACGGCAATTTGCGGCTTGCAAGATCTCGAAAAATTATGCGGAATCAAAAAAAAATTCGTTACGATCGGATAACCGAGCACAAAGTTACGTTTGTTTAAAATTTCGGCGCAGGTCAGACCTTCACCGCGGCCGTGTACTGCAGTGATGCAATCACTGTCTTCGTCGACAGCGGTGATGGAATCACTGTCTTCGTCGACAACAGTGATGCAATCACTGTCTTCGTCGACAGCGGTGATGGCCCAAACTAACGTAGATTGAGAATTATGAATATTTTCATAACGTGTGTATTTTGAGAATTTTTTTTAAAAACATGTGTAACTTGGGATTTTTTCCAGTTTAATCAGCCAGCAGTTCAAGCAAGCAGTATCATTAGTGGTTTTGATACACACCAAAGAACTAATGAATGAATAACGGCAAATGATCAGTGCACTGGTATGACAAAATACACCTTGTGATTCTCATAACAAATCCTCCTGCCAGAACGATAGAAAACTAGCCTCCCAAAGGTAATGGTGCATTATGCTTCTAACAAATCCCCCGACATAATGAACTATGGACTATGATCACAACTACACTTAATCAGCCATTTACTATCGAGGATGGGGGGGATACACGACCTCTTCGCTTGGATGCCATATAACTCACCTTGTTTCACCTGTACAAAGGCACAAAATCTTCAGACCGCAAGACTGGCTCACGGTCAAGAGCCCCATTCCCTTACCAGCTCAGATTCTTTGCACTAGAGCCAAAATGACACCGGAACTAGCATATACTGTTTCTGTTACGAACTCTGCGCGGTGACCATTCAAGTTTAAACCTGTAGAGTACAAGGCAGTGAGTGTACTCCGACAAAACAGTATGCAGTTATAATGTTGAGCTGGTCAATAACAAAAGCTAATTCTTACCATTAACTGGGGAAGTCTCAAAAAGATAAAAGCCAGCGAGTACAGAACACTAGAAAGAATTGCAGCTGTTATAATGTTTTGCACCAGTCGCTTATCGTCTTTGCTGGGGACAAAAGCAATCTTCAATGTATTTGTCAGCTCAAAGAGTCTATAGGAAACCTACAGAAGAAGCAATACAACAATCTTCAGAAAATACTGCCCTGTAACAACCACAGAAAGCATACAACGCCATATACTTACTGCAACATATATTGCACTCGTAAGCATGAAGTTAAGCAGTGGATATTCTGGGATCAGAGATAGCAATAATTTTGGTTGAGCATCTGGGACGCTGGATCTGCAAGTTCATTAACAAAAAATTAATACAACCAAGTACGAGATGTATATGTTTGCTGATGGCAGACCAGGTAGGTAATAAGGATAAACAAGCTAGAAGAAAACAAACTGGTAGCCCATTTCCAAAAATAAAAACAGACAAGCAGGAGTGTTCACTCGTCTAATTTTCTTCTCAAATTAAGAGATTGTATGTGTTATGATTTAAAAAGTTCAGGAATGTTTCGTAAGACATTCAGTTGGATTATTAAAAAGGTTCTGGTGGAACATGAGATGGTATGTTCAGGTGAGCTTGGGGTATAACCTTTGATGTTAAGGGAGCGAAACTAGCAATAAAATCTTCTTATGACATGGCCTTAGCCCTTAAGCTTATCATAATTTGAGTTCACCTACTGTGGATAGTTCTAGAAATAGGTAGGTTGTTTGTTTGTGATAATTTTGTAACAGCTTAAATTTTAGAAGCTAAGACAATAAATGACACAATCATAGCCAAAGTCAGTGCGTACCTCAACCAGATATGAAACTGAGAAATATACGTCTCCAAAGTAACTTTTCCAAGCCATCTATTGAATAAAATCATCACAGATGATAAAGGGAACATAATGTCAAAAGTCTGTAGAAAAGCATAAATTCACAAGATTAACGAATATTTATAGCATGTAACTTACGCAAAAAGGGTCAGGCTGAAGTTCCGGAAGTACTGAGTAACATTCCTCAGAACAATGTATACCCTATCAATACCATAAAGAGTTAATTAATCTTCAGAAATACAGAGTATTCAAATGTTCTACTTAGGGAAGCATTACTTACGTTATTGGTATCCATGATGTGTAAGGATGGTATTTGTTGTAAGTAATCTTGTCCATCTTATATATGTACTCAAGCCACAGATACCCCACCTAGGAATTTCAGGGAAGCTAGTGAGTGTAAAAGACAAACAGAGAGGGAGAGCGATGCACAGAGAGAGAGATAGGCAATACACACCGTTAATGCAATTGAAGAAACAGCGATTTTGATTGATATTCTACGTTTCATTTCCATTTCTTCCAGCTTCTCCATCCACCTTTCAACCTATTAAGTCATAAGAAAAAAAGCTCAGCAAAACACACAAAAAAAAAACGAATACTTATTCCATATTCCAATTGCCTCTTGATTTCAAGTGGAACTCACTGTCGGGTGATAGTATGCATATATCATTCCGATAATCCAGATATAACGATCAAGCCCCGAGCGGAAATGCCACTCATGCAAGCGAGGTAAGTTAGGTTTCGCAGGATCAGTGTAGCCTACAAAAATTTCGGCATAGTTAGGCATAGAAAGGCCAGTAGTTGTGGCGTTCTAAGACATAAAACAAACTTTTGAGAGAAAACCAACCAAGAAATAAAGTGAATGGGCCCCACAGGATCTCAAACATGCCAGGAACTTCCCATATCAGAACCACGACCAAGAAGCATGCAACGATCTTTGCTCCGATGACTAACCCAATTTCATTGTACTTGTGCAGAATACCGAGGGCCCCGTACACCATAAGAGTGAAGAGAGTGTGCATTGGGCAAATGTAGTATAGCATGTAACTGTTATTGAGTATGATGCAGCAGAATATGACCAAGAAATTAAGCCGCCACATCATCTGTTCAAAGAAATAAATTTCCTACTTGATCAGGCTCTTTGTCAAGACAAATTAAAGAGAGTGCATATCAGAAAATCCAAAGATATCATACCTGCGCAAACCTGGCAAGACTAAAATCCTTGCGCACGTAATAATACGAGAAGTTCCCGAATCCAGTCATCCAGACATATGCAGCAATAAACACTCGGATTGCATTATACAACTCCGTTGCAGCAAAGTAATGGTACATTAGAAATAGGACCTGTTACCATTGATAGGAAGAGTAATTATTTTCCCAGCAACACTTGCTCTTAGCAAAGTTATGCCATGATATCCACAACCAAAACATTAGGCAAAAACAAAGCAGACAAACCTGCATCCAGCCTTTCCACTCCTCGGTTTGGTGTCTGTTCAAGTAAAGAATGGGTTTTCCAGAGAACGGTGACCTGTCTTTGTGTACCGTGAAAGAGGTAATGGCTGCAACAATGATGAGAAGGAAGTAGAGGAACAAGAAAAGATCCCGGTTGTAGGTCTGCACAAAAGACAAAGGCTGGTTGTGAAGCAGAAGCCTACCATGAAATCTACAGTCATCTTTTTTGCTTGTTTAGATATATAAATAAAAAGGAAACAGTACGGAGTAGATAACATAGAATGACAAGAGGAAGAGTAGGAATAAGAGATCAGTTGGTGGCAAGACCTTTGTAGAAGAGCCAAAGACATCAGTGCGATCGCAAATGTAAAAGTACACCAAAAGGAGACCAAACTCAGATCTGCAGAAGGCAGAAGACGGTCTCATGGAAAGTGATTCGACTATTACAAATTCAGTTATCTCCAAGTCAAAATCAAAATACTTACATGGCTCTAAGATTCAATAGGTTATCCAACAAAAACTGCTCATCCATCAAAAGGAACCTAGCAAGTACAAATGCACACAAATTTATTTCTCCCTCCCAAATGCACACAAATTTATTTCTCCCGAAGCATTAATGATCTGCAAACTTCCTCAACTAACCTGAATATAGGAGATGAAGAATGCAAGTTACGAGCCCTAGGAGATGCAGATTGAAGACCGCCTCCTTCCAATAGAACAGCTTTATCATCGTCTTTGACCACCTCAAGCCCCACTTCCACTAAACTGATATCCGAGTGCCTACTAGCAAACACCGTAAACTCAATAACACAAAACAGAAGCAAGAAACAGACACAGCAAGATCTTAACGCAGCAATGCCAAGAGCATCTCTCTGGTTCTGATCAAACAAGTCGTTCATGACCACCATACACGGCATTTTCACATCGTAACTATTGCATATCCGCAGAACAGAGCTTAACTAAGACGATGAGAGTTTGAACTTTGAACTTACGCTTTGGCTACTCTCTTTCTCTTGTACTCCAGAAACTCGGAGTAGATATACGCAGCGAGCACAGGTATGATTCCAATGAAAAAGGAGACCTACGCATTAAAACAATACACAGTTTAGAGCAGAAGCAACGCATTATCCACAATCCAATTACCTACATCCTGCTAATCACAAAACGAAAGTCGGATCACTTGCATGCACCGACGAAACTCTCTCTAAGTCACGAATCGACCGAAAATTCCCAAAGTTACGCTTCGGAATCAAAGGAAGAACGAGATCTAGAAACTTAAACTACTAGGTTAGAGCAGGAATTGAGAGGCGCACCTGGCCGGGAGTGATAGGACTGGAGATCGCCATGAGTACGGCTGCAAGCGGAATTGGCAGCGATCTCAGTCGCTAATAATCAACACGCATCTGAGCTTGGGGAGTATGAAATGGCGTCTCGCAGATCTGATCGTAATCAGACCGGCTCTCGCTCTGGCCGACGGCGGAGTCCTAGATTTGCTCCGGTGGAAACGCCGGCGGCGAGGTTCGCTAGTAAACGCGGAAAGCTCTGCGACGGGGGCGGGAAGAAAATCTGAAAAGCCTTCGGCACGGGAAGGACCGAAGTCGCCGAGCGAAGCGCGAGAGACTCTGAGATGCAAATAGAAGCAAATGAGCAGAGCTCGCTGGTACGGACTACGGAAATCAGACTAGTTCGTTGATTTTGCTGGACTATCAGAAGAGAGGCCAACCGATTTTAATCATTTTCTTTTTAATTTATTTCTCTATTTCACGAAATTACCGTGTTTTACGCACTGTTGAATTTCAATCACACGGCTAGGGAGGTGTGGTTTGGTGGAAATCAATTGCGTCGCTCTTTTACTGACTGATACTGAAGCTCGTCGCATGAGGAATAAAAGACGTTTCTAAAAAGCGTTTTGCGAATTCCTCATTTTTGTTATGAAATGTGCATTTATTGGCCATGTGTTAGACCATTTCCATCCCTATAGCAATTTCTCATTATGGAAAGGTATCTAGCATAGCGTAATTTGGATTGGAATCCGGTTTAGTGAAGATTGCTACGGTTGAACCAAGGGCAAGTAATCAATTTGGACAGTGAGAAGAGCTGTCGGTAGGGCTGTCAATTTGATTTTGATTTTTCGGTTTTAATCGAAACCAAACCATTAAAAGGTTAACGGTTTTGTTTTTTCGGTTTTAAATCATTTAGCATATTAATGGTTTTGATTTTTCAGTTTTAAATCCCTGTTTTCTTGAAGGACCCCTGATTTCTTTGAAGTCAACCATGTTTTTGGTTTATAATTTATCAAAATCATTAAGGATAAGGAGCTTATCGGTTTATGGTTGTGATGGACGAAATGTGATGGTGTTGTCACCAATTCCCAATAGGATGGGTATCTATGTCAAATGACTTGGTGATTGAATTGATGGATGAAATACACTAGATTGGTGGATTTATGAATCCAAGTTGCATCTAACAGTTGATTACCCTCCACTTCTTAAAATACAACCATTAGTGAAACCAAATCCAATTGAGATGCCTAAAAACCCAAAGAACCCAACTCAACTTGAAGCCAGAGACGATGAAACCGAAAAGACAAAGCTTGAACAAATCCCTAACTACAAACTACAACAACAACAAAAAAAACGAACCAAGTCTACTACTCCATAACAATTAACATGCCAAGGATGACTACTTGGTCGGATAATTTGGATTCTATGCGGCCAGTCTAACAGCCACAAACGCCCACTTCATACCATTAATCCAAGAGATCAACCAATCGCGCCAAACTAAGAGTTAAAAGTTTAGTCACAACCCTAAATTAATACATCACCAACAAACACCACGATCGTATATCATCGCTTTGATGGCCTCACGTCATCCTCCCCACCATCATCGCCATCATCATCATCGTCGTCATCCTCATCGGTTTCATCCTTGCTCACCCTCTTCCGCTTTGCAGAACCAGCAGACTTGCCCAGTTCATCGTCGTCCTCGTCGACTTCCTCGTCCTCATCCTCGCCATTCTCTTCCGGTTCGAAGTCGCTTGCATCTTCCTCCTCTTCAGGGCGCCCCACTGGTCGCAGGAGGTACTCGGTACTCAAATCCTTCTGCATTAGAACAAGCCGGACATGAATAAGGCTAAAGTTTCATTATCAAAGGTTGTAAAATCATACTGAATTATCCATCTTGTCCACACGGTTCGACCAGTAAAATGGACCAATATTATAAACAAAACCATCGGCCGTAAACCCCTTTAATATATTCAGATAATGATACCAAAACCTAAAACTTTGCCGACATGTTTGCAATTAGGGCAGAGAAAAAAAGTCACTGGTATCAGTCCAGAAATTAACTAAAACTTAACACAAGCCATATTTAGGTCAATAAAGTAATCGAATTGATCTGAAAGAGCTCCGGGTCTCAGTTCTAGAGGCGAATCTGAAGGTCCAGTTATTCAGCAACACTCTAAGCGAAACCAGAACGAAAGGTGATCTGAACAAGCAATTGGAGCAGGAAAACCTACTGAATCGAAGGAGCATAAATCTTTAATAGCATAATCGACTAAGAAAACTTTCAGATCTATGGGAATTTCGGAGGGAAACGCTAGCAGATTAAGAAATATGGATCTAGAAGGTTAATTTTTAATAATTGAAAAGTGTTTCAACGCAGGAATGGTTACCTCTCCCTGCTCGTCGTCCTCGTCGTCGTCGTCGTCATCGTCATCATCATCATCGTCCCCACCATCGTCCTCGTCTTCGTCCTCATCTTCGTCGTCGTCATCTTCGTCTCCGACGGAATGGACGACAGGAGGGTCAGACGAGGGCAAGGCCTGCTCGGAATCCTCGTCGTCAACGCCTTCATCGTCGTCGTCATCTTCATCTTCGTCGTCATCGTCTTCGCCGTCGTCCTCCTCGTCGACGTCCTCATCAACAAAGACGGCTTGCTCCTCCGCCTCTCCGTCGTCAACCGCCGGAATCATCAGTTCCTCCTCGGCCTCAACCTCCTTCAAAACCATTCCTTCCAGCTCGGCGATTTTCATGTTGAAGTGGAGAGATAAGAGAGAGAGAAGAATCGAACAACTGGGGGTTTCTATCTTTATTGGAGATAATAAAAATAATTATTAACGGAAATAATCCGAATTGGAGAGCGCAAAAGGGAAGAAGGGGTGAAGGTCAGGGAAGAGACGAGCTTGTTCGTTCAATGAACCAGTAGCTTCTGCAACTTCGATCTCAGCCGTTGAGACGCGAGATGACACAGATCGATGACGTGGAAGGAGATCCGACGGTGGAGGCTCGAGAATATTGTATTTCTTAGTAGATAACGTCATAGCGTTTGCTCTGCGGCTGAGTACCCCGTTTTTTTTTATTCAGTCAGGTGCTTGTCACGTGCGAGAGCGCGCTTGGAGTTGGAGGCTGAGGCATCTAGGGTTAGGGTAACGTCACCTCGCTAGAGAAGTCGCCGCAAATGGATCTTGGGCTTACTAATAGAATGGGCTTTCAACTGCTTACCCATACTGCCGATCCAGCCCAAACACGAATTTAGTGCTCTGTTTTCCCGTCCCGGATCTCTTTTTTTTGGTAGAAGGTCGACGACTAGCGTCTAAATCGTATTAATAATCAGACGATCATGGGGAATTCCCATGATGTCGTGCAAAAGCCAATGTTCAAGTTCAGGGTCGTACACATTGAAAAGATGTGTACCAAAATCAACAAGATGGCCCTTAGCTGCAAGAAAATCAGCAGCAAAATTTGCCTCTCTATACACATGGGAGACCCTAACATCCCATTCCAAACTAAGCAAGTAATTAAACTCCTTAGCAATGATGCCGTGGCGATGATCATCTTCTGCATTGTTCATAATGATGCCAACTGCAGTAGTAGAGTCCAAGTTGAGGTGAACTCTACAAAGTATTTCGGCTAGCAGGCAAATCTGAACTAGTGAAAAGGATGGTTTTCGATTTTCTTTAGGTTAACAAATAAAAATATGCAACCACGACGAATCGACGATAAGGCAAATTACGATTAAGCCCTAATCGTCCGAGCATGCAATGTGCGCTGGCGGGACCCTTGTTTCCAATACTTTTAGCAAAAGGACAAGAGCACCAACGCGTGCCTATTGGTTCAACCGACTTTCATATTCCAACAATCAGCCAATGAGTACGTTCCTGCATTCACAGTGAGCAAGCTATCGCACCACGAACCACGAGCTCGAACGAGCAGCAACCGAGCCTCTGATACTCCTCTTCAGTCTTCACCCAGCTGCATACATTATCACTGAACAACATTCAATCTAACTGGTTGGCTATACTCATGGGTTCATGACTCTTTCATCATTTTCACTTGCAAAAGTTACAAATCGATCACCAAATTAGCGAAGAAGTGCAACATTACACAAACCATGTACACCACATCCCATCAAATCGAAGCCTCATGGCGTTGTCAAGTCTTTTTGTTCATTCAATTCAAGATGCCAAGCAAAAAAGGATTAATGTATAAGGACCATCATTAAGATTTACAAATAACACATTCTAAAATTCCTAAAACATTACTCTAAATAGTCTTGTAACCCAAAACTCCTCCTAAACAAACTCAACCCACTTGATGAACAACAGAACGATAATAATATTCCTTTTTTCCAGTTTTCCTCCTCCACATAGCAATACTGGGGGTTTGCTTTTCTTCTTTTTTTTTCACAAAGAGACGAGGGACAAAAGAGATTTGACCTGTAAGGGTTCAATTTCTGGGTTCTTGGTGAGCCCTCCAAAGAACGCCAAGAAAAAACCCTGTTCTTCCGTTTCTTCCTATCGCTTCGATGGCCTGTGGTCGTCGTCGTCCTCCTCGCCATCATTGCCGCCATCACTGGCATCGTCGTCAGAGTCATCCTTCCTCGATCTTTTCCGTTTTGCAGCGGCAGATCTCGAAGATTCATCTTCCTCCTCATCTTCGTCCACCAAGTCCTCTTCTTCCTCGTCGTCTTCATCCTCGCCGTTCTCCTCGAGTTCCAGGTCTATCGCGTCTTCCTCCTCTTTTGGACGCCGGCGAAGTATGTATTCGCTTCCCAATTCCTTCTGCAAAATAGGATATACATATCATCGGGAGCGAGAATCGTCAGATCTGGTGGATTTTTTTTTTTATCGACTCAGTACTTTACGGAGATGGAGCGTTTATGTAGGAGATCCGTAAGAAAAAGTCAAGATCCAAGTTGAGATTCAATCAATAAGAGGATTACCTCTGCTTGATCTTCTTCGTCGTCGACTTCATCGTCCTCGTCGTCATCCTCACCTCCATCGATGTCCTCTTCGTCGTTCTCGTTATCGCCGTTGAGTTCGTCATCATCGTCGACCGACTGGATAACTGGCGGGGCGGAGGAGTTCAACGCCGTCTCTGGTTCATCGTCCTCGACACCTTCCTCGTCGCCGTCGCCGTCGCCATCCTCGTTCTCATCGTAAATCTGGTAATAAAAGCCATATGCAATTAGTTTTCAGAGAGTAAACAGAGGAATTAGTTGTATAATCAAAGATCGAGTTGGAGAATCGAGTGTATTTACCACTCCCTGCTCGTCGTCGTCGTGATCGTCGTCGTCGTCTCCACCTTCGGCTTCCTCTTGGTTCTCTATCTCACCTTCGTCGTCATCGTCTTCTACCGACACGACAGGTGGACCGACGGCGGCGTTCAAGGCCTGCTCACCATCGTCGTCATCGTCGACGCCTTCATCCTCGTCGTCATCGTCATCTCCGTCGTCGTCGGAATCGTCGCCGTCGTTGTCATCTTCCTCCTCGTCATCGTCGACGTCCTCTTCGTCTTCCGGCGCTTCGACCTCCGCCCCTTCCTCCGTGTCGCTGTCGTCCTCGTCATCGGAGGAGGAAATCGCAATCACCTCCTCCTTCAAATTCTTCCCTTCCAGCTCCGTGATTTTCATGTTATTTCTTTTTTCCGTCCAAGCGAACAGATCGGGAAAATCTAACGGAAGGCAATCAAATTTCCAATCTCTTTTCCAGGAAAATAATAATAAGTGAAATCAGAAAAAAAAAATATTTGGTAGCTGGCTGAGCGAAGAGAGGGGCAGGTAGGAGGAACAGAGACGAGCAGCTTCGTGTGTTTGAACCAGTAGCTTTGCAGCTCCGATCTAGGCCGTCGAGAACCGGGGTGACGCGGATCGATTAGCTGGAATGAGATCGGACGGTGGAGGTGGGAGAATATGTATTTTTTTAGAGCAGCCAGTGCGGCTGCGGCGCTTGCATACTAGTTTTTGCACTCGTTTTTTCTTTGTGCGAGGCAGGTGTGTATCACGCGCGGGAAAACGGATGGATGCTTCTAGCCAGGGCTAGGGTTTTCCTTCCCGCAATCCCGCTGAAATCTAAGCCCATTTTAAAAGTTTAGTCATGGCTCGCATCTAGTTTTGGGCCGCCTTTCATTACAGACAAATACATCAAAACAAACTATCGTCAGCCCAGCCCATAATCGAAACCCATATTAAACAATTATTCCTGGCTGGCCGCGTTTCTATTGCAGCACTGCTTTGTCAGATTAAAGGGGTGGTTTGCTTAATGGATTCAAAAAACAAGTTTTTGATAAAACTTGTGATTTGGAAAACTATAATTTTATGATGGATTTGTTGATATTATCGATCTGAAAGAGTTTTTATGTTTATTGGATTTTATTATTGATTTGTTTGATTAGATCATGGATTTATGGTAATACTTCAAATTCTATCTCTTATTCTTAATATGAGATTTGCAAGTTTCGTAGGGTTCACAAAGTTGGCCACTGAAGTTCATAGACGCCATGAATTGATCCCTAACAAACTTCAAATAAATAATGACTTTGTGCAAAGTCCATGATGAATTTGATTTGAAACCCAATTCTCTTATCTAAATCCAATGAAGCAACCAACCCTTAAATATGATGATATCCCTCCCAAAAGTGTAGTGTATAGTCCAATATTGTATATCAATAAATGCCACCTCTAAAAACATGAATAACATGAACTCTTCCATTACACTATGGAAGAAAGCGTGTTGGTGGTCTAGGTCATTCTGGCTTAAATTTTTTGGCTAAATTGCAAGTTTGGTCACTTGAATTACTAGTAAATTTCACGTTAGCCACTAGAATTACTTTATTATATTCGTAGTCACTTAAATTAATTCAATGGTTTAAGTTTGGTCACTCTCTGTTAGTCTCCGTTAACTTTGGTTGACGTGGCAGTCAATTCTGAGAGTTGATCGTTAAATAAGTGACGAGGCAATTATAAGATAATAATAAAAAATGAAATTTAAACTTTTTACAATTGCCACCTCATTATCATAATAAATTAAAAATAAATAAAATAAAACAATTATAATTAAATTGAACAAACCCTCATCGCCCTTCCTCTCCCCGGCCAAACCCAGTAAGGGAAGCTCCCGCCGAACTTCTCGCTCCAGCATCGACTACCTCATGGACCGCCTCGGCGCCTCCACGCCACCAGATTGCGGATGCGATTATTGGGGCCGAGCAGAAGAAGACTACCAAGTTTAGGATTGCGGTTAGAGGTGGCAAATGGATTGGATTGGTGGATTGGTGGATTGGATTGGTGGATCCATGGATCAAATGGATTGGATCTAATGGATTGGTGGATTCATGGATTGGATCAAGTGGATTGGTGGATTATCCATGAATCCAAATGACATCCTCAACCAAGGACCAATATGTAAAATATAAAAAGTTTAGGTACTAAAATGTCACAATGAAAAATTTTAGGTACCAAAACGTAATTTTCCAATGATATTTTTCGTATAAAAAATTAAATTTTAGGTACCAAAATATAAAAAATAAAAATTATAGGTATTAAACCGTAATTTGCCAATGATCCATGGATCCAATCCATGAATCCACCAATCCAATTGGATTTGGATCAAATGGATTGGATTTAAATGGATTGAATTAGGTGGATATTTTTAATGGATTGATGGATTAGATTGGTGGATTGGATTGAAATTGCCACCTCTAATTGCGGTTCAGTTGTTGGATAGCGCCATGGGAGAGAGAGAAGAGAGAGATACTAGAGATATGGAGGATTTAATGGTGGAGAAGCTGGTAAAAAGAGGGAAGTTGAAGTGACGATGAGGAGGAGGAAGACGTGGCGGGGTGCTGGCTGAGCTTTTCGCGGAGACAAGCGGAGCACACGCCTGGGGACTGTCTGTGTTTCGGGTGCTTCTTGCACCTGATGTTTATGGCGCCGGTGGCGGCAATATTCTTGGGGATGCGTCGGGCGGCAGGTTGCATTTATTTTTATTATTTTAATTGTTTTGTTTTATTTATTTTTAATTTATTGTAATTATGAGGTGGCAATTGTAATAAGTTTAAATTTAATTTTTATTTTATTTTATAGCTCTGCAAGATCATAGCGTAAACACCCAATAAACGACTATGTCCGAAATTTGCACAACCCATATGTTTGCTGCTTGTTGGGAGGCAGGTCCGGCCTAGGTCCTGTGCTGGTCTGAACAACCCATATGTAATAAAAAAAATTGAGGAAATGAGAAGCAGAGCTCTGCTCACCAAGGCCGCGCGCGAGCGTTTCTAATTCTCTCCGCCTCTTAATCTCCCCTTCCCTTCCCAAAATCATCATTCCCAAAATCATCCTCTCCCCAAAAATCCCATCTTCCCAAAAGATACCAACGTTTCTTTTCATAATCAATGTTTATTGTTTAACGTCTCTACTCTCTCATTCCATCTCCTTAAATACCGCCCAACCCAGATTCTTCCTCCCATTTTCATTCCTTTAACGAAATTGTTGGGCCGCGTAGTTGAGCGTAACTGGGCTTCGGGCCCAAGAAGGGCGCATTCGCAGTCAAGGCCCAATGGGAAAGGCCAGGCCCGATCAGAAGACCGGGTCAACAGGCGGTCCTTGACCGGCTGCAAACCCGAGAAACGGATAAGGATGTCTGACATAAAGCGACTGGGCGACGCAGAGGGGCAGGGAGCCGTTGAAGATGCGTATCCGGTGTCAGGCAAGACTGAGCATTTATTGCAGGCCTCAGGCGGCCTGCAGAAAGGTAAAAAGCCTGATCGGGACGCCTGACACAGCCCAGGGCGCCCGACAGAGCATTTAATGTCCCAACTACCTTTGAACCAGGTATAAATACAGAGCAAGCTCATTTATGGTAAACCTAACTACTACTCATCTCTCTACATAAATTCTCCTTCTCTCTCATTCTCTCTCTAACTTAGGCTTCGGAGAGTGTCCCGGGCGACCGCCCCGGACCCTTGTTTTGCAGAGTATTTGGAGTGCCCCCCTCAGTCCAGAAACAGACGCCTCGCTCCTGCTTCACAAACCGCCTAGTATTTACTAGGCACGAACAATTTGGCGCCCACCGTGGGGCAAGAGCGAAGCGCTGAAGAAAGGATGGAGGGGAACTTCAGAACTCCAGTGAAAGATGTGGTTGGCGGACAAAGCATCAGAGGGTTGGAGATGCCGACCGTCGAGGAAGAGAAGGATATGGAGGAACGCGTGAAGGACCAAGGGCAACAGATCACCAGTATGCAGGAAAGCCTGAGTCAAATCCTCACTATGCTCAAAACCCGAGAGGAGCCGGAAGGCACAAGGAAGCGCAACGACAAGGGTAAAGAAGTGGAGGAGGAGGCTCCGCCTAGCCCATCTCAGACAGAGGATGGGAGGTCCGCAAGCGGAGAGAGCGAGGAGGACGCCCATCTCGACCTCCTCAAAGAGCACCTGCGACCCTGCTATGGGAAGCCCAAAGGATACAACGTGTTGCACAACCCCCTGGCAAAGAGTCTGTTCAAGACTCAGGTGCCGTCGAACTTCTCGTCGCTCGGCCTGCCCGCCTACACCGGCAACTCCAATCCGTCGGACCACTTGAGCGCGTTCATGCTCAAAATGCAGCTGATAAACGCCTCGGATGCAGACCTATGTAAGGCGTTCCCGGTCACGTTTGGTGGTCAATGCAGGAACTGGTACGCGTCGCTACCGGCGGGAATAATAGAGAACTTCGAACAGTTCGCCACCCTCTTCTCGCTCAATTTCGCGTCCCAGCGAAGGAGACAGCTCACGGTCTCAGCACTCATCAACTGCAAGCAAGGAGAGGAGGAGACGCTGGCAGATTTCTACGACAGATGGAACACAATAGCATGTGAAATCCAGGACGTCTCGACCAGCGTGGCCACGGGAAACCTGAGAATGTCAACACACAGCCGAGAGTTGAAAAGAGCCCTCATAAAGAAGGAGCACAGTATCAAGTCGTGGCAAGACTTGGACCGCGTGGTACGGAAAGTCATTCTCTTGGAAGAGGCCCTGGGTGCCGAAGAGGTCTTAAAAGGGACGCCGCCCTCCGCGAACAAAGTGGAGAAGGGACGAAACGGATCGCCGAGGCGAAGGGGACGCACACCCGAGAGGCGCGGCTACAAGGCCAGGTTCAACAACAGAGACGGAAGACGCGAGGTGTTCGCCTCGGAGAAAGAGGAAGAAGGACGCCGAGAAGGAGGGAAAACCAAAGAGGCGCGCCCCCGTCAGAGGAGGGAAGACGATCAGAAATGGTGCGACTGGCACCAGCTGCCGACCCACGACACCACGGAGTGTCGTGAGTTCAGAGCCAGCCTCAAGTACCTGGCCCCCGGGGACTTGAGAAGCCGCCTGGACACACGGGCGCATCCCCGAGAAAGGGCGGGAGAAAGAGAAAGGTCTCCAAGCCCAAGAAGGAGGTCTCGGACGCCCAGACGTCGGAGATCCAGGTCACCAAGGAGGGAGCGAACGCCCCATCGGGAACGCTTGCCTCCCCCACCTAGACACGCTCCTCCACCCCGCCATCACGCGCGAGAGGAAGAGGACGGCGTTGAGATCATCACCATCGCAGGAGGGCGCAAACGCCCCCGAACAGAGGGGGACCGCTTGGTGCAATGCATGAGCATACATCGGAATGAGCAGGTGGAGATCAGCTTCGCGCCCTCAGAGCTGGCGCCCGAAGAGTGTGGAGACGACCCCTTGGTCATATCGTTCAGGACGAAAAAATTCAAAGTCACCAGAGCCCTGGTCGACAATGGAAGCTCAGCAGATATCCTGTTCTACTCCACCCTCAAAAGCATGAAGAAGGGGATACAAGACCTCAAACCGTCCACCACCAGCCTGGTGGGGTTCTCCGGCTCTAAAGTCAGAGTCCTGGGCTCCATCACCCTCCAGGTAACTATTGGGGAGCCAGGGGCGACCAAGACGCGCCTCATGGATTTCCATGTAGCGGATTGCCCATCCGCGTACAACGCCATCCTGGGACGCGGCTTCCTGTCAACCTTTTCCGCGGTCCCCTCGACTTGCCATCAGATGCTCAAGTTCCCCACTCGGGGCAAGATAGGGCGTGTCATCGGCGACTCCCAACAGGCAAAGGAATGCTACCAAGCCACTATCCGAAACCTAGAAGTTGATCAGGTGGATTCGCGGGGAAGTCACCCCCGGCCGGAGGCGGCCGAGGAAGATGTGG